AACAAAGATACTTCAGTACAGAATTCTTGCTATCACCTGAAATTCTGCTTCCACTCAACTAATTATTTTTTTCAACCTGCCAGATTGATGTGGATGTCAGATGCCTTAGTGTAAGGGATACCTTGCTTTCCCAAACATAAGAAACTTGCAAAAAAAAAAATAAAAATCTACAGCTATCTCATCTGCCCTCCAATCCCTAAGTCACTAATTCTAATTCACAACTGAATCCGAGAACCATCCTTTAAGTTATACATATATTCACACACTATACACACATTTCTGACCTCCTTGGACATTTCCATAGACCTAGTAAATAAAGAAACACTATTAAAAAACTGTCACCAGAAAAACTAATAAAGCAGCAGTTTGATATCTGGTACCTTGCCATGAAAGATCTGAATTGTCTTTGACCAACTGCATTGCAAACATTATTCAGGTAACATTTCAAAATGTCATTGAGATTTCATAATTTGAGGCAAGTATCCACAGTTTCCCTTTTCTAAACAGTGAGGAAGCATTTGTAGGATTATGTAAGAAACCCTCTTATAAAGAGCTCAGTTCTGCTGTTATGCTGAATGCTGCAACTCTCAAGTGGTATGACTTTAGAGGCTACCAGGCATTTTTTCATTTGACATCACTTCTGATACGCAAATGAGTAAAAGTGAATCACTCTCAAACCCTTTCTATACAAGCCCGATTTTGACAGTTTCTCAGCCACAGCTGCTTCATAAAGTATGGATTCTGGCTTTAATTTCTTATACATGCAACAGAGAAAAAATAGTCAGGAAGAGAAATGCAACAGATGGGGAAGGCTTGAAGTCAGGTTAATTCCTGAACACATTTCTATGTATTCTTTTTAAAGAGAAAAAAACCCTCCAACCTTTCAATACATCATCTCTTCAGCACCTTTGACTTACAAGCTCTAAAATGTTTTTTTTTCCAGTTACTCTAATTACTAATGCTTCTAAGGACTCTTGAGCAACGGTGGGAGGACGGTGTTGCTTATTGTTAAAGATTTGAACCACAACCCATCGGTGGCTGACAGACTTTAAAATTATCGGTATTCTAGCAAAATTCTTGCTGCTCATGAGTTATTGCCAACTCATAATGAGACCCAGCCCTGGTAGAAGTCCTAAAGCTCAATACAGAGCCATGTGTTTTTGTAAAGGCAAATATAATCATACATTTAGGAACAAAAGAAGTAGGCCATATTTATAGCATGAAGGGCTGTACCTTAGACAGCATTTATTGTGAAAAAAACCCATCAGAATCAAAGTACACAATCAACTGAATACAAATTGCTGTTGATATTATTGCCAAAGGTGTTATTTTCATCTTTGGATAAAAAAAAATAGGGATACATCATATATAAACAGGCATTTCCATATTAAGAGGGATTTAGACAGCCTTAGCAAAATCATCATTTTGGTGTCAAAAGACACTGGAGATTTGGAAAAGGTTTAGATAAAGATCACTAAAATAATTTAAGGCCTGGAAACATGCTTTATAGTGAAAGACTTAAAAAGCTCATGGAAGAGAAGGGCAAATGGCAACTTGAATACAGTCTATCACTACCAACACAAGAAAAAGACATAATGTAGTCTGACAGCTGGTAGCTGAACCTAGAAAAAATTCTAAATGTGAAATAAAGAGACAATCTTTTTTTGACAAATAAAGATAGCGGGGTAAATAACCACTGAACCTGCTTGGAAGGGATGTGATAAGTCAGTAATTCTGTACCAGGGTGCTGTGGTCCTTTCAAGGATGCCACACGGTGCCACAGTGTTAGAAGTTAGGTTTGCAAACATGGTTCACAAAATAGACCCAGAGATTTCACACTGAAATCCACAGTTGTGGGATTCCTGAGTTCTTTGCAAGAGAAAAATTGCTCTATTATTTTTCTGGAGTAAAAAAAATAGTAACAACTAGGAGCTGGCACTTTCCCAGGGGTGCCTCAAGTCTAAACAGGTTGAGAACTACCGTGACAGATTCTTCACTGTAGTCTTCTGATGAAGATTAGCCATCCTAAATTATATGCTTTAGTTTGCTCACAAATTACTAGCAAAATGCAAGGCTATATACAGTGTAGATCAGTCAGGGGATCATAATGTTCCCTTCTGTTACTATAATTAAGAATATTTTATTCAAATCTATACTGCTCAGTAGATTTAAGTGAGTAGCATGCACACTTTTTAAAATTTCATATATAATTATAAAAAGTCTATTATAAGATAATGCAGTACTCCATAGGTAACGTATATATTGTCCTTTTTTCCTTTATCTCTTTTTTTTTTTTTTAAAGGAGGAGACAAAAAATCATTATGATAGAAATGAAAATACTTAAGATGTTTAATCAATAGAAAACCAACTTTGTCTTGCTTGTGCTGATTTTGTTAGCTTCTGAAATCAGTTTAGTCTCTAATAATCAATATGGCAGCCCTAAATTTTTGTTTAGCTATATTCCTGAATGCTTTTACTCCCGCACCATTACTTTTCTATCCTTTATGAAGAACATAAAGCTAGGAAAAGAAAATGCTGCCTCAAAGGGATAAATATTACTCAGATTAAGAATCTGATTATTAGAATTGCAAAAGTTACCAATTGGTTTGTTACAAAATTATAGAATAAAACAATACAGCAGATTTTTTTTCCAGAGAAAAATCAAGGCTTAGAAATAAATAGTATTTACCCATATGCCATATTGACATGTTTCCATGGGTACTAAGCTTGCTTTCCAGAATTTTAGGGATTTTTACTACAAATTTAAATCTCTGGCTGTTAAGCATTAGAAAATAAAAGCCTCAAGAATGTACCCCAAATGTAACTAAACTAGCTATACATTTTCAAAAGCCATAACTCCAAAAGGTGAAACCATACAATTCTGTTCATGAAGGGTTACCTCAGATGCTCAGTGATGATAAGCTGAGAATTTTGAGTTAGCTATTTTATTCCTTAAAAATGAAAGAGGTGGTAAGAAATAAGACTGCTACACTATTTACTGTAAGTAATGACTCATTTTAGCATTACAAGTTAAAGATGTTTAAGATATAACCCACTTTGTTTCCTTCCAATCACGTAACAGCCAAGCAACAACCCAAACTACTCAGCTGGATCCTATCTGGTGACATGAGATGAGCCTAATCTGCAGGTGAAACTTGGAAAAGCAATACATACCTCTTTTATCCCTAATCTGACTCCTAGGAAAAACTTTAACAATGTCCTTACATACCCATTGAGATGGATGACTTTAATAGAAAGTTTGGCACCGGACACGCGTTCATTGAAAACACAAGTCAGCAGCTACTGGGCCAGAGCCAAAGTCTCCTATCCTCCAAGAGGCAGAAGAGAGTGAGATAATAAGAGTGATTACATGTCTCTCTCTCCTCCACAGGCACAATGGAAGACTTTTTTTCTCCCATTTATTCTTCCATACAGCAGCAGCTGAGCACACTTGAGTTAGATCTGCTGGTCATCACATCACAACTTGAGAAGATAGAAAATGAATGTTTTCAGTCACAGGTCAAGGCTTACCAATGTCACCATGATCAAAGACAACTTTCCTTCATCATTTGGGTTTTTGACGTTTCTTCCTCCCTCCTCCCATTAAAGTATACTTACGCTATAGGTTATTGCTTATTTTTGCATGCCTGTTCACAAATAGATAAGGGGGGTTGACTAACTTTTATATTTGAGCTATATTTTTAACATATGCCTAAAAGGTTCCTAGACATGACTTCTCCATTGGTATTCTTGTGAAATTTTAGATCAAAAGCATGAAGAGAATTACCTCTTCAGAGCTAATCATGTTTATACTCTCAACTAATGGCCCTCGTGCTTATATAACGTAGACATGCGGAATTCTATATGAGCAGTTTGAAGAATTTCCTGGATTTCTTTGTCCTTCTAAAAGAAGGAATTTAAAATATTTTTATGCAGTCACAGATGCCCCAGCAACAATTTTATTTCTGTTTTGCAATCATTAACATGATGCTGCTGACTCCAAATTATATGTTCCAAAGGGGTGCTCCCTGATAATTGAAAGCCTTATATTTCCTCAGTATTTTTGAAAGTGCTATCTGCAACAATGAGTCATCATCTACTGCAGCACAACATCCTGTTCTTTTCATGCCTCTGCAGCCCTTTAAAAAGAGAAGTACTATCTTTTAATGACACACACAATTCCCTGCACTGCCTGGCTGCAAAAAATAATTAATCATTGTTTATCATGCTTAATGAAACTACCTGTAAACATGACAGCAGAGATTTTCATTAATTTATATGAACCTTAAAAATAAGTTACCCTTTTCTAAATGTATCATATGATTGCATTATTATTCCCTGCAGTGTTGTCATCCTGGCCAGCAAACAGTAAACAATTCATACTGAAAAGAATACATCTTTTCAGGTATTTCACTGTCATTTCCTAAACTATTTCTAGCATCAGAAATGTTACATCAAATGTACATTAGGTAAGCTGTATTCTACTTCCTTCCCATCCAGCTGCCAGTTTCTCCAACAATAACAAATTTACAGATTAGATCCTGTCACTGTCACTGCATCCACCAAGGCAGCACCCCATCTCTAGGGACTGGTGACAATGGGTATATCTTCATGTCAATTATAGGACTGTATAAATGCATGCCTTAGTAGCACTGCTGGAGGTTTATTAAAAAATCATTTTTCTCACTTAAATGTATCCTACATTGCCATGGATCTTACTCTATTGATACCCCAAACTCTTCAACAATTCGGTTTATAGAAGATAATATAGTGTGAATTAATTTATGCAAATGACAAAATGTTCTCTCATTTAAAAGTTCTCTCTTTTATTCAGTATTATAGACTCTTCCCCAAGGAATCTTTATTTCTATGAATATAAATAGAGCCATAAAGTTTAGCCTGTTGCTTTTTAAAAAGTTACCAATGCTGTAAGTAAAGTTCATTTCCTCAGCTTTTACCATACAATGGATAGGTACAATAAAATGCCGTATTCCTCTCACCTGCTTTGGAGTCACCCCAGGCATGCGAATGTCCAATGCAAAATCTGTCAGACCAAGAGGAATCACTGGCCTGTTGTTTCCAAGGCATTCATTAGAAAGAGACCTGGTGGTATCTTTATACCTTTAAAAGAAGGGAAAGATTGTTTCAATATCCTGATTAGAAGTGATTTAAAAGTTTAAAAAAATTAGAGAAAAACAATTCAGATTTACAGAATCTGATTTTCAGAAGATCTAAGGAAGCTTGACACCTAACTCCCACTGACTTTCAATCTAATTTGGTTGCCAAGTTCTCCATATTCAGTCACTGAATTGTTTGGAGACATTCACATGGATAACTTTAAAAGACTGAACCATGTAAATAAGCATACCATAAAAATCAACCATTATATATATATATAGGTAAAAAATGTACGGTAAATGCATATATGGACATATTTTCCTCACCATGCCAAAACATATCACATACTGCTGCTATTCATTTTGGATAAACAACTATACATAGTTCTAAAATTGAGTTAATGTTTGACCAAAATAAAATTTCAGTTTTTCCCTATCCTTCACATTTTGAGGATTTCAATTCTAGAAGTGCAATGGTTAAGTTACAACTGGTTGCTTATCTACCTACAGTATCTTCCAAGCCAGCAAACAACAGTACATGTTACAACTCGGTATGTGGGCATCAATGGGGTCTGTAATGAGTGCTTCATACAATTGATAAAAGGCAAATATTTAATTCACTGCTAAGCAAAACCATAAGGCAAAAACATCTGAAATGTGATGCAAACTGACTGATTATTTAACTTGGTAATCATGGGGTATGCACTGTATATACAGTGCTGTGTTTTTGAGCTCTCTCAGTTTATTTCCTCCCCACCCCTCTTCCATATACACACTACCCCCAAAGTTCATTTGCTTAACTTGGTATTCAAGACTTAAATAAAAACAGATTCCTGATTTTAAACCAGTTGATTAATTTCACCAAAAAGGTACCAGTTCAGCCAGCATGCTTAGTACTGGAGCAGGTACAATATATTTGTTCACTGTGTAAAGTCTCAAAAACACCTATGGTTATATGCAAATCTCAATACATTGTTTTATCCATTTGTTATGTAGATGATCCATATTTTAAAACACCACTGTAATAGTACAATAGGTTTCCTGTCTTCCAAGACTGGTATAGCAAATGTAATTTCAAGAACTGCAGACAATTTCAGTTCAAAAGTTAGCCACAAAGCAAAGCAATCTATTTTGTCAATAAATAATTTTAGGTAGCAGATACTTTTTAGAACTTGCACTATTCAAAGTGATTGCATCACTACGAAGCATGCACTGAAAACACCAAAGATATTTTCTGCATAACCCACCTCTTAAAGACAGAAAGTGGGCTTCTGTAACCCAAACAGCTGTTTTGAAAAACAAGGAACAGTATTAGCAGGTTGTTAACGAGGCCAGCCATGTCCACCCTGCTGTTCCTGGCCCGATTAAGGGAGCAGAAAAAGGGCAGTGCGGCTCTATCGGCTGTGATCCTGACAATTAGGCAGCAGCAGCAGTATCAATTCACTACTTCATTATTGTGTGCTCTGCAGGCTTCCTACAGCTTTTGACAGACCATCTGTCTTGGAAGGTGACGCACTGTAAATCAGGAAGGTGGATGATGCTATGTTGTCTTTATTATTAGCTGCAAAAATCAGTTGAGGAATCTTCCTTTGCAGATAGGTGACACTGTACTTTTTTGTCCAGTTAAGGAGCTGAAGCGAAGTGGTACTCCTGATGCTTTCCCCTTGCTGTACTGCTAAACCTGCAGGTTACTTATCAATTCACAGTGACAGAGGCTCCAAGTGGCATCACAGAAACCAGCGTCAGTCATCCTTCAGAACCTGTAAAAATAGAAGCAGATAAAGAATGACTAACACATTACAGCATTAGTCCTCAGCAAATCCCTGCTGAGGGTTTTTAATACATTAGTACTTTCATAAGCTTTAGCCCAACCCAATGAAGAATGCACCAAGTCTTGTTGATCTCTCGCTCCCTAACATACCAATACAGAAAAAATTAAAAATCCTACATTTTTTAGGTTGAGAAAGTTAGTCAAATGCAAGATGCCAAGTAGCATGTGAAAAGATAAATACATACTTAGAACCAGCAACGTATCAGGAAAAAAAATACAAGAAAAGCATGTTATAGTTTATATACCTATGTACACACACAGTTTTGCAATCTGACAAACATGGTAGCAGAAAAGAACCATAACAAGCATTAAGGGTTATAAATAATCTTTTTTTTTATATTGAAGAATATCTGCAGCTATTGAAAATTTAGAAAATCAAAACGCTTCATATTACAACAACATGTTTAACACACAGCAGAATGGTACCCTGTTCATTCAATGTATTATTGAAATATGAAATAATATCCACTTTCATTAATTTTTTTTTTTTTTATGTACTGCATGTATCAACTAGCTGGGAATGGACAAAGGGTTTAATGAAAAGTTACTTTAGGAACATTAATAGGTGTGTGATAACAAAATGTAATGCAGGCAGATAAACCAGGCTTGTATAAATTAAATAAATATTTGGATATTTTGTATGTTAGTGCAATATTGGCCAATATTATTCACTACTTGTTTTAATAACTTTAGGTGATGAGGTTCTTATCTTTTTTTTTTTATTTAACTAATTTTTAACAAAATTAGGACATGTCACAATGAAATAACTGGCAATAATGAGGCTGCTTGCTAGGTTGTTTTCTCCCACCAACACTCTGGGGTGGGAGGGAGGTGTTCTATAATGAATTTTTCACTCCTAGAAGGCAAACATCCCATCTTAAATACAGTACAAAGGGTTTTAAAGTAGGATTCACAGCTTTCAATAAAACAAATGTGAAAGAATAAACTATTCATCAGTCACAAGATACTAGTTAAGAAGACTCATAAAACAAAGTACAGAACTAAAGACCAAAATAAAGAATTTAAATGCCAAACAAGAATTCTGAAATTAAACATTCAATTTAAATCACTGTTAAATGGTTTCCATGCCAATGTGATCCAGATAACATGAAGTGAATAGATATCTAAATGAAACAAGAGTGCTCAAATGGACACTAAAAGCCACTCTGGCAACTTGCCAGTTGCTTGATGGTTACACCTGATTTGCATTCAATTTTTTATACAAACTATCAAAATACAGAATCTTTTCATTTCATGACAAGGTAATGTCCATCACCCATGGCTTTCTACTTATGAAGAGGGGTCAAAAATTTATGCACATTAGCAGCGATGCGCACACTTTTTTTTTTTTTAAAGCTAAAATAACATTTCCTACCCTCAATTTTGTGATGCAAGCAATCTTCGAAGGTAAACCGAAGGGATGCAAAAGTAAAACACAGGGACCTCTAGTACTAAAATTAGCAACATCCATCAAAACAAGACCTGTGAGAGTCATGCCTCAGACAAAGATTAAACCCATCAAGAGAATGCGGAGAATGCCATAAATTGAAATTTGAAGTGTACAGTTATGCATTAATAACTGCAAAGCATCTCCACAGTCCAACTGACTGAGAATTCTAGTATAATATTTAAATCAGACATTCTTTAAAAAGCATTTGTGCTTATGTGCTTCAACTTAAATTCAAAGTTTAGTAAGAAATCTTTTATGAAAAACAATTATAGCATTTTGTCCTCTTCAGAGTGAGGCTATAATCCACCCCCCAAGAAAAAACACCCCCCCAACAAAATAAAAAAAACCCATGATTTCCCAGCGAGTTGTTATTGAAGCTTTTATGTGCTGCCATAATATGACACACTATATTTTAAACAGAATTTCTTCAAATGCGCTACATTTTCTTTGTATCATTAATTGCAAAAGTCAGAGGCGAAAAACACCTAAGGAAAGATTTAGATACCCATACCTCCATAACTACCCAGTATGCGAATATTTGGCTCCCTACTAGAAAGAACCCCCCCAGGTACAACATGCAGAGCAAGAAAACCAGTTTGTCCCAGACTTAGTAGGTGGTATCAAATTTGATAAATATTGGTATAAATGTTATGATTTTTCTTTAAATACAAGAATGAACAACCTCAATCTTTAAAAAAAGTTATTAGTTATTAAATAAATCTTTTCCCCTATAAAATCACCTTTTCAGCTAATAATTCTGGAATTTGTTTTAACTGACAAAGAGAAAAAATCTCTTAAGGATTGACATTCACTTTCAAGAGCTGAATACCCCATTGGTCCAAGATAAGAACCCTGAAAGACACAGAGAGAAGTATGGAATAAGTTCCAGTTGAGACTAAATTGCCCTGCTATCGTTACCTGTTTACTGTGGAATAAAAGTAGGTGACTACCATATCAGTTGTTCTACAGTAAATCCCTACCCACCCATTAAGTCCCTGATTGTTTGTCCATATCTATACAGAATTTCAGAGTGTTAGAAATTATTCCCCCAAAATCAGATAATCTAAAATCTGACAAACTATTTTCAGTAACAAGTATCTCTGGAAGATTGTTATCTTTAAAAACAAACCAACCAACCAACTCGCTATCTAAGACTGTTTGAAGCAATCCTGGTGAGCAAATTCTAGGTGAAGATTTAACTAAACTCTTCTGATAAATGTATTCAGCAACAGTGCCTCCCACACCTGAAGCACTCAGTACCTTCAAACATACAGTTTTCCTATATGCGGTAGGTTTCAATGTTCACTGCAAATATGTTTAATTCTTCAATTCGTGCAAACAACTAGATTAGATTTACATTAAGGGAAGCATGCCTTAAAAGCATGAGACTTCACCACTTTCAGAGGAATGTTAGGTTAACAAGAGCCATATAAAAAATAAATCTAGAAGTAAATAAAAAATCTAAACAATTAAATCTTAAAGATGACCTCAGAGTAAATTTGAATCCAACATATGCATCTCCTACTTAAACAACCAAAGCCAAACAAAAGGTGCACTAAGTATATACAGCCTTGAACTATATAAGGGGCAAACATCAGGGGCTAGGAGAACATCTATTCACTAGAAACACCACAGGGGAAGACTAGGAATAATGGTCATAAACTGATAGAAGATCGCTTCAGATTACCAGGGATGTGCAAAATACAGCCCATGGGGTGGATCTGGCCTGCCAGCCCATTCTATCCGACCAACAGGGCCCCTAAAAATTTTAGAACATTAATTTTTATCTGCTCCTCACTGCCTGTCAAAGATGACAGGCAGCCAGGGACAGCAGGACCTAGTGGCTGAGCAGCAAGGGAAGCCCGGCTCCACCCCACCCCCAGCCCCCACCA